GACACTGATAAGGTCACAGGTAACATGCACCACAATGTCTCTGCATGCCTAGAACACATTAGAACTTATACAATTGATGTACAATAGTTACAATCAATAAAATATAATAAGCAATTTTGTATTTTATAAATGTATACATGTATTTCTTCTCCATAGATGCCGAGCATACGTGTAATCAGGAAACGACAAAGAAAGTTCCGTATTTGGAATCCGGTGGCCATGCAGGGGGCCATTGATGAAGTGCGGGCAGACAGGCTCTCTTATAGGCAGGCAGCTGTCCATTTTGGGGTCCCCAAGTCCACCCTGCGAGACCGAGTCAGTGGGAAAGTGGCCTCTGACAGCACCTATGGTCAGAGGCCACTTCTCTCTGAGAAAGATGAGAATGCGCTGGTGGAGTACTGCCTGTACTCCGCCAGCTTTGGATTCCCACTGACAAAGTCACAGGTGGTGACCCACGCTCTGGCAATTTTCAACCGGCGCCACCCACAAACACCAAAGGTGGCGCTGAGCCAGACGTGGTTATTGGACCGTGGGAGAGCATCCTGTGCGAAGAGGGGGCCTGTCGAGGACTATTTCAATCTACTGTCCTCGACAATGGACAGGTACGGGCTGAGAGGGAAACCCCACTGCATCTACAACTGCGACGAGACGGGGTTTCAGCTGGACAGCCAGAGGAGGAAAGTCGTCGTGCCCCGGGGTACCAAGCACGCGTACAGACAGGCTCCAGGCACCAGGGAGCATATCACCGTCCTGGCCTGTTTAAATGCGGCTGGGGAGGATATCCCCCCATTCATTATCTACAAGGGGAGATATCCGGGGGGCCCTTATAATAAAGAAGGGGTCCCCAATGCTCTTTATGGGAAGTCACCGGCTGGATATATGGACAATGATCTGTTTGTGAAGTGGTTTAACCAGCACTTCCTAAAACATGCCACCCAGGAGCGCCCGCTGCTGCTGGTTATGGACGGTCATGCATCCCACCTCGGGCCAGAGCTGATCCAGGCGGCACAGGGGGCAGGGGTCATCCTTTTGTGCCTCCCGCCGCACACGTCACACATCCTTCAGCCCTTGGATGTGAGTTTTTTTGGACCCTTGAAGGCAGATTTTGCAGGCACAACTGGGGATCTGTCGGCTGTGAGCCACTCCTTTACACTTTCCAAAAAGGAGTTTTCAAGGGTCCTCAAAAACTCATATCTGAAGATGAGGGATAGAGGCTTTGTGGTTGGAGGTTTCAGAAAGTGTGGCCTCTACCCCTTGGATCCGGGGGCCGTTGACTGGTCCCGGATCATGCCATATGGGCCTCCACTACCACCGCCTCCTCCTCCACCGCCTCCTCCTCCACCGCCTTCTCCACCACCCCCTTCTCCACCACCCCCTTCTCCACTACCCCCTTCTCCACCACCCCCTTCTCCACCACCCCCTTCTCCACCCACCGCCTTCTCCACCACCGCCTTCTCCACCACCGCCTTCTCCACCACCGCCTTCTCCACCACCGCCTTCTCCACCACCGCCTTCTCCACCACCGCCTTCTCCACCACCGCCTTCTCCACCACCGCCTTCTCCACCACCGCCTTCTCCACCACTGCCTTCTCCACCACTGCCGTCTCCACCACCGCCGTCTCCACCACCGCCGTCTCCACCACCGCCGTCTCCACCACCGCCGTCTCCACCACCGCCTGATTCCATCCTAGCCCATCCTCTGGTGGTGTCGGGAAGGATCCCCCCTGACCTGGCTGACCTGCTAATGGAGGTGAAATTCCATAGAAGCCAAGGCAGGTTAAGGAGGAACATTTCAAAGGCGCGCATCTTGACAGCGGAGGACATGGCTACCACCATCGAGGAGGCAGAAGACAGAGCTGCGAGGAGGGAGGCTCAAGCTCTGGCCAGAAGAGACAGAGAGCAGCAGCGGGCTGAAGAGATCCAGCTGGAAGCCACTTCCGCCATAGCTGGTGACTCCCAGCCCAGCCGCATCAGTGCAAACCCCGGGTGCTCATCTGCCAGTTCCGGACATTCCACCACCGGCCTCTCAGCCCCTCCAATCCCCTTTCAAACCTCCCACGGTCTTCAGCTGCCTGACTCTCCTCGAATACCAACTAGGAGCCCGCCTGCAGCACCGGCCCAACATATTCGAGGTACTGTGTTATTAAGACCATTCTTCATTTATGCATTTTTTAAAAATTCATTATTACTCAACTATGTGTCTCTGTGTTTGTTCACCTGTAGAACCATCTACATCAAGAGGCCCCCTAGGTCCCAGAAAACGAATAACTAAGTATTCCTTACTAGGATCTTCAATATTTAAATATTTACAAACAGAAAAACATCATTTATATCTGTTTATTATGCCTATATCAAATAAAAGAACGGGTAACATAAGTTTTTTTTTTCTTCCAGGTCTCCAGTCGTCCTCTAGCCCTTCCTCCACCAGACCCATGGCATCTGTTGGTAATAAAATAGAATAGACCATTGGAGGCATATTTCAAAGATATAACACTGAGACCGTCCGTATGTATACCATAGGCATACAATAGTCATCGTCTCAGATTCACATTGAGTGGAATTCCTCCCACTGTTTAATAACATTTGCAAATAGTGCACTACCTCCCTAAAACCTGACACTACTGAAACTAGTAACACCATCAATGTCAGCTAGTGTTTGTTTGCCTAGTTAATTTAGTCTTAATAATTAAGATGTTATTAATGATTCTCCGTTTTTACAGCTCCCCCGGCCAAAAGAGCCAAAAAAGGATGTGGAATGTGCAGAAAGGTGGATCCACCCGGCCAAGGAAAGACGGTGCCATGGGTCCAGTGTGACACCTGCCACAGCTGGTTCCATTGGGTCTGCGTGTCATGGGAGGAAGGGCTAGGGGATTTTATTTGTTTTTGGTGCCGAGACATGTAGCGCTATGATGATATGAAATCTTATCTTACATGAGTTTATTTGAATTATTTTTTAGTATCACATTTTTATTAGTTTACTTGAATATTTTTTATGCTACATTTTTAATAGTCTATTGGAATATTTTTTATACGACATCTTTATTAGAATTTTTTTTATACTACATCTTTATTTGAATATTTTTATACTACATTTTCATTTGAATATTTTTATTTTATATTGCATTTTTACATCTTATTGCATAGCATGTCTCACACAATAAAAAATTGACTATTTGAATTTCTTATTTTTGCAATAAACTTTATGTAATATGAATTCACAATAATAACAGTTTCTACTGACAGTTTGAGCAGTAAAGGTGTCTCTAAAGGTGACAGAGAGCATGTGGAGGGATTTCTGTCACACTCTCCTCTTTTCGGCTGGTGATCATAGGAGAACAAAACAATCCGGAAACACTTATTTTTTTCTGCTGAAAGTAGACAGTTTAGTCTTTCAGAATCTAGTCATAGCCATCATTATTATAGATCCATGGTCATAGCACACAATATTCTGTGGGTGTTGAAAATCAGTGAAATCATCGAAATGGCTGGTAGTCAATGAGCAAAGCCTCATAGTTTCTTGATGGGATTTTAAAATTTGCATTACAGTCTTAGGTGATGAAATTGTACACTAAAGACATGCAATAGAGAAAATATCCACTAGATGGGGTCATACACTGATATGTTGTAAATGCGTGTGGGGAAACACGGAAATAATTAATGGGATAATACATATGAAAGTTATTCAAATTAATCATAAGACAAGGTCATAACAGGGATCAACGACTCAGATGTGAACTAAGTTTACGTTGCACAATATTAATCTAGCGCTAGCTACTGTCCGACTCAGGTTTTTAAGCTGTCCGACTCAGGATAATACTTCCGGCTCGCGAAAATCACGAGGTTTGTGGTCTTCTTTGTAACATTACAAAACAACTAACAAAGACAATTGCCCATGTCATACACCATTAGAAACCTAAGAAAATGAACTTTAGTCTGATGTCAGTTAAATCAGCGAGAGGTGCAGACAAACAAATTTATGACCGGTTGAAGGTAAAAAACATACTCATTTTTAGCCCGAAGTGTCCGACTTAGGAAACAGATACGCTAGTTGTTTGAATAAAAAGGTGATTATAATTTTGAATATTTAAAGGTAACATTACCGTGAAGTACCTTTTTTTTATGGATGACTTTAAATGAGCTTAACAGTGCTGTCTCTCCGTTAGTATCGGATCCATTCGTTTTTCATTGCGGTGCTCTCCGTTACTTTTATTTTGGATGGCGACATTAGTTTATGGTTGCCGTCTCTCGTTACTATGGATACATTAGGTTTTCATTGCTGTTCTCTCCCGTTACTATGGATACATTAGTTTAACCGTTGCTGTCCTCTTCCGTTACTAATGGATACATTAGTTTAATGGGTTGGCTGTCTCGCTGGAGACATTAGTTTATTGTTTGCTGTCTCTTTGTTACTATGGATACATTAGTTGTATGCGTTGCCTGTCTCTCTGTTTCTATGGATACTTTAGTTGGTGTGCTGTCTGCTCCGATTACTATGGATACATTAGTTTATGGTTGCTGTCTCTCTGTTTACTATGGAGTACATTAGTTTTACATTTCTTTCTCTCCGTTACTATGGATACATTAGTTTTATGGTTGCTGACTTTCATGGATACATTAGTTTATGGTTGGCTGTCTCTTTGTTACTCTGGATTAGCATTAGTTTTAACGTTACTGTCTCTTCGTTACTATGGATACATTAGATTATGGTTGCTGTCCTCTTCTGGATACATTAGTTTATTGTTGCTGTCTCTTTGTTACTCTGGATAATCATTAGTTTATCGTTGCTGTCTCTCTGTTTCTAGTGGATACTTTTTTGTTTTATTGTTGCGGTCGTCTCCGTTAACTATGGATACATTAGTTTATGGTTGCTGTCTCTCTCTGTTACTATGGATAAATTAGATTATCATTGCTTTCTCTCCCAGTACTATGGATACATTAGTTTATGGTTTGCAGTCTTTCTGGATACATTAGGTGTTAATTGTTGCTGTCTCTTTGTTACTATCGGATACAGTAGTTTATCGTTTGCTGTCACTTCTGTTTCTATGGATACTTTATTGGTGCTGGTCTCTCCGTTACTATGGGATTACATTAGTGTATGGTTGCTGCTTCTCTCCGTTTACTATGGATACAATTAGTTTAACGTTGCTGTCTCTCTGTTACTATGGATTACATTAGTTTATTCATTGCGGGCTCTCTGTTACTATGGATACATTAGTTTAGGGTTTGCTGTCTCTCTGGAGTACATTAGTTTATTGTTGCTGTCTCTTTGTTACAATGGATACATTAGTTTAACAGGATGACAAGGGATACTAAAATCTTTATTAAAGCTGTAGGTTCTCTGTCAGCTGAGGTCGAGCTGTTTTAATATGCATTGAGTTCTATGGGAAAAATTTCTGGGTAGCCCACGTGAATTTAGTCTGGTTCAGTCTGCAGTACCGCAAGAATCCCCTGAGCACATGAGTTATTCAGCTACAAGCTAGTAATACCCTATCCAGTTATTATAATAGATCCATGTGTGAGACCCACACACGCGTGTTTGACGCAACGCATTATGGGAGATCATCCACTGCGCAGAACCGGGAGGACCAGACGATGCCCAAATACAGGCGAGTTTCCCATGGATCTTTGAGAGTTTCCCATGGATCTTTGCGAGTTTCAGGCAACTTCCGCTAATCTTTTCAGCCCCCATGCCGTCACAAAGTGCCACTGAGCACAACCATTCATTTGAACAGGGCGCCATCTTGAATCGCCGGGGCTTGGTATGGCCATTTGTCTGGGGGCTTGGGAGTCCTTTCAGGAAGCAGTCACATGTGAGACGGTTCCCAATTTAGGTAAAATAGATGTCTTTGTTATACAGGTTTAAATTGGAAAACGTTGATTGAATAAATATGTGAATGTGCATAGATATGTCAAGAACCATATTGGATGGTTTACATATGATTTTTATCAGAAAGTATGTTCTAAAACTAGGGGTGGGAACCTAAGGGTACCTCACGATGCGATACAAAGCTCACTACAATTATATCACGATATGACGATTATTAGGGCTGGGCGATATAAACGGTATAAGCGGTATGCGATATAAATTTGGCCCACGGTAGAGATTTTTGTTATACCGGCATATTGCAATAGGTCATTATGTCATCAAATTGCGCAGGCTCTGACGCCAGCAGAAAGGACCAAAACAAACCGGCATTCAGCAGCATTAGCCTAGCACATTAGCCTAGCAGACACCACTGGAAACAACGAACAACAGCACGGCATTAACACTGCGTTTCTGTCTCTGTATTGTTGTCACAGCGGCCCCAGCAGAGGTAAATACACACACAGCAATCACAGTTTAAGCGTCTACCTTTTGTCCAATCAGTGTCAAAGGGGCGTAGGCTCGAAGCGCCAGCGTGAGCCAAAATAGATCCATGCGTGTGCCGTGTCCGCAGAATCACAGCAGAAGTTTGGGAAAGTTAGCGTCAGATTCGGACCTCCGCGGTCAATAGATCACGAAAAAGACTTTGTTAAACAAATTTAATTGTGCCAAAATGATCATTTACATCAATTGTTCAAATCCAATGCGCTGTTTTAATGCAGATAAATCCATTGAATTATCCAGTTCACAGCAAGCGCAGAGAAAAGCGCTTAGGGAGCGTCAACAAATGTCATGACCAGCTTTGTAAACGAACAATAGCTTTTACTGAAGTCATGTACCTGCACAAAACTCTCAGACACTATAAATAATGACCATGTCTAACTCCTACAGACTTTGATTTCAACATGTGAGTTTTTTATATTTTAAATGAATGCAAATGTTTTTCTTTTTAAAAATTGCTTTTACAGTGAATGGTATTTACTGTAACATACATAAATAATGTATGTTACAACATGTGTCACTTTATTTGTCTCACAACTGAATAACTCAAAAAATATATATTAGATTCTAATATATAAATAAGTAACAATCTTGACTATTTTATGCAAGAACCTGCTAGACCTATATTGAAATTCACACACCAAATTATACCGCAATATATACAGTCTACCGTCTGTGTCTCAAATTATACCGCAATATGAATTTTAGGCCATATCGCCCACCCCTAACGATTATTGATATATTGGTCAGCAATATACCACATGCCAATATATGGCATACATTAAATGGAAAAATATGAAGTGAAAAAAAACACGTTATTTCATCCATTCATCCATTTTCTTCCCCTTAATCCATTTCTGGGTCGGGGGGGTGGCCAGAGATGCCACCCAGTTCAGAGCACCAGCCCCTCACTGATCCTCTTGCAGGTGGTGAGTCCACAGGAGCTGAGATCTTTCAGTGGGGGCTTCAGGTAAAGTGGGGTTAAGTGTCTTGCCTAAGGACACAACGACAGCAGTCATCAGTGGGAGTCGTGAAGTAGGTCTTACGGTGGGCTTGAACCCACGACCTTCAGGCCCAAAGGCCAATGCTCTACCAACTGAGCTACTGTCGTTATTTCATGATAAATGGAATGGAGAAGTATCGATTGGAAAAAGTTCCAATCGATACTTGGCAAATGCATATCGATAATCGATCGCGGGAGAAAGTATCGCAATATATTGATATATCGTCGCACTCCTATCTAAGACAGTGAATTTCTTTGTTGCCTCAAAGCAACGTCATGCAAATGTAGCACTTGTGTTGGTAGAATATGCTAATGAATGTGCTGAATTGAATAATAAGCAACATAGTCAATGTTTTTGTCATTCTATCTAAAATTTCAGTTTTAACTATTGTTACTAGTAGGAAATGGACGTGAAAACATTTTATGGAGCAAAGAATGGAGTCGGGGACATTCCATCTGACAGCTTGAGGAGGAGTGTGTAAATGGAGTAGAATGGACCCCAGATTCAGGTTTGAGAAATAGTTGGGTGGTCAGG